ATGAAGCAATATTCACGTTATAATTTTCTAATTGAAATAATGGCACATGTGACACCCTTTCCGTATTGTGGAAAGTGCGTAGTCCCGCAGCCTTCAAAACCTGCGTCGACATTAGTCGTTAACACAAAGAAAAACAAAGCAGTGGCTATGTAACACTGAAATTAGATAAAGCCTAACCTGACTACATGCCCTCTTGCTTTATCGATAGATCGATTTGGGGGTCTATTTAGCCTAGTAATGTTACATGGAGCGCAAAATACATTAAGCGCCAATGGATTACATGTCGTTGTTCAATTATTGAAATATAAATTTATCGGGAATTGTATTTTGTAACTTGTATGATTTTTTTCTTTTCAATCCCCATAATTTACTAGGTTAGTAGTAATTGCCTCAAATATGCGCTGCAATTCTTTATTAGTTTTCTTGAATTTCCGTGCACTTAATTTCTTAAAAATATTTCAAGACTAATCTTAAATTAGAGTAATTTAAATTATGCCTAGTATAAGTATATTATACAAAATAAAAAGGGTGAGAGGAAAAAAGGCAGAATTGTATATGAGTAGATGCAAGAATTGTAATTCTCAAGTCCATCGAAGGGTGGCATGTGAGGCACGCAATGCGATGATATTCACCTTATTCACGCTATACCTGCCCACGTCTGGGAGTTTCGGCAGCGTCTTCAAAGACGTGCCATGTCTATTTGTAAAAAAAACGAGCCGAGGTAATATATCCTGTGCAAATTCATTTTCACAGTAGATTTATTCACCATCAAACAAATGTGAATTCAGCATTGTATATTGTTTGTGTGCTCTAATTAGAGTTTAAAATGTCTGAACCTAACAGTTTTAATTAAAGGTTAGACATTATTACAGACTGCTTAAGAAAACTGATATTTGATACATCCACGTCAGTATTTTTTAAATTGAAACAAGTCACAAATTCCCAAGTAAAATGTTCTTGCTCAGGACTTACTGTATAAAAGTATGTTGTTAACAAGTTAATAAAATGCGATTTCGGTGTAAATTTCTTACCTTCAAGATTTTTTCTTCACATTAGTTTACATTTTGCCTTAAATATTTTCAAAATGCGTTGCATCGACTCCTTGCATTTAAATGGATCTTTTGTTTCCTTTTACTGGGTTTTTGGAAATCCCGTGTGGCGTCGATATTATCTAAATTACCCTTGGAATAAGACAAATGTGTTTGTCAATGTTTAGATAGTTCAGCTCCAAAAAGAAATTTAATTCGTGTTGCGGAGTGATAAGTCAGGCCAACTCTCCAGTTATTTCTAATGGAGCAAGCATGTTATAGCACATAAATAAATAAATATTTAGAATCTAGGAACGATTATGGCGAATTCCGTTTCTTCACGTTACAATTTAAGTTTGACCCCCTCCCCCCTTTCCTCACTTCCCCCGCAAGACACAGCACACACACGCACACATAAACATATTGTCCCATAAATCACTATATCATAATCATGTGTTTATATATATATATATATATATATATATATATATATATATATATATATATATATATATATATATATATATATATAAAAAGAATTGTCCTTGTCTATAAAATAACATTTGCATGCAAAATCTTTTGGGGGGAAAAACTGCTTCTAAGTGCAATAGTTTATTGCCTTAAAGGAATTGTTCTTCTTGAATAATTAATCATCTCTTTGGTGTAGACATAATCTTGGGATGAAGATGTGACTCGTGGATATGATTTTCTCAGGAACAAAGGGAATGTAAAAATGAAAGACAGAAGGATATGACGAGATATAGGCTAGTAAAGGGGTATCTGTTCTGGCTACATTTCGTTCTCGCTCTCTCTCTTTTTCTCGCTCGCTTCGTCTCTCCCCCTCTCTGTTTCCCTGTCCTACTGTCTGCCCCTCGGTCCCTCTCCCTTTTCTAGCCCTCTCTCTCGCTAGCCCAGTGTGACTCTTCAGTTAACAAACAGCGTTTCCTACTGCTGCTTGCCCTGTCATTGTAAGTACTACGTTCTATTATCAGCTGAAGTTCAATGAATCGATTGTTTTCTTTTTTGTTTATCAACCGTGAAACGTGAGTTGAAGGACTTAAGGTTTGCTGTGTGTATTTCTATAAATGTGATAACGGTTTTGAAACGGTTTTGCTTGTTTAATTTACATTTTTTCACTTATGATAAAAAAATAACATGTCTTTGAATTCGAACCTTCCACCTTGACTTCTCTGATACCATTAAATTGAGAGAAAAGTTATACTTTAAGTAATTTAAAGAGGTAAACTAGTTTAACGTAGTTTCAATGTGGAGAATATATTGTTTCATTTAAATTGTTTAATAAGAGGTTGTTTCACACACTGATCTGATAATCCCTGTATAACTCAATCTGTGCGCCTGTATTCGCTGAAATAAACATGAAGAATATGTTGTAAAAGCTATGCTTACCTTCATGGTTCTCGGATGGGCTGGTGTTTGAGTAGTGGAATGTACATGCAAATAAAAGAATACATCTAATGGAATTGTCGGTCTAATAGGGCGCTGTCATAGTAGGGAGTCAACGTCAATATATATGCCAATTAAATTATTCTGTCTTTCCAAATTTGTACATCTGGCATTGTCATTGGCAGGCTGGGAAATGGACGAGTTCTGGATATTCAAGGAATGTACCTGAACTTTGATAGGACGTACTTTCTGCACGCGTACTGAAAAATATGTAGCGGAAATACAAATTGTACATGCGAACCTTGGATGATGCATTTATAATCCACCAGGTGTTTAACGTGTATGAGAGTTATTTTTTTATTTTTCACTTTCCAAATATAAATATGGATCTCTTAATAGTGTTTTGAGAAACTTTACGAAACTTTTTATTGTTTTATTTTATATTCCCCGGAATAATGAAATTGTTTTTACATCATCAAAAGCAACTTGATATTGTCAAACCTAAATATTAGACTGTCAAAATGGCATTAGGTGTTCGCGATCAAGCAATAAACATCGTGGTAGTAGCGTTACAATTGTGACTTGAAGCACGTACCTGAACACCTGACATCGGCCTAAATTTGACAGGTCATCTCATTCAATGAAGAGATTATTGCCTCGGGCTATTCGCCCCGAATTATTTTTCATTATTTAATGGCATAAATTAATTAACGGTGTGTCAAGGCGAACTGATCATTTCACTAATAAAACTAAACTTTCTGCATTTGGTAAAATGCCGTAAAAACATCAAATCACTAAATGCAAAAGCGATTTCTTAAATCGTAGCGAGTAATGACACGTTTTAAAAGCTGCAAGATAGCCAATATAATATTAAAACAGCTTAAAACAGGCTTCTGTGGTGAAGTAAAGATGCAATTATAAACGTTATTTTTAGTTTTAAATTAAGCACAGATCTCGACAGAATCTCCCAAATAACAAGACGGAAACACCGAATTTTCCCTCATCTGAAAAATAGATTTGTCATTGCCTACTCACAATGTCTGGTGTGTTAACTATGTCTAACGAAGTGTGTTACATACCCGGTGCACTGAAGGTTTTTTGAAATACGATGTTTACTTTAAGTATGTACATTTTATCCATATTTATTTTTTATTCTATATTGATTTTCCAATCCTGTTTTACATAGTAAGAACCCTGTCATTTTGATTTAACTCTGGTTTAATGAAATTTATTTCCTATTTGCTTCACAGAAACGGCATTTCGGTAACTTGCTCGCCGCCATGTACCGGGTAGGGTAGCGCATACCTCCTTTACTTCTCCATGCATTCCATCCTGCGCTTCCCTACCGTTGTCAGGACAGAGGCAAGGACTCGGATTAAACTTTACCGAAGGGGTGCAATTCATCTTTTTAAGAGCTTTTTTTCGAGCACCCCACGGTCGCACGTTTCTTTAAGGATGCGCAAGTGTAAAATAAGACTGTGACTCCTTCCTAAATAAGTGCCCTTGTGACAGTGACACGAAAGGGCTGCCGCGTTTACACCTTGACAGAAGCATGTATTCCATATACCGCCTATATTACACGCAACGATATGTACCTTGATTTAAATTAGTGGCGTATACGTTGAGACGACGTTTTCTTTTGCTGTCATTTTTTGCAAATCTTCTTTTCTCGGTATGAGGTGTGTGTTTGCCCGTTAAACTTCACATTCACATTCGGCAAAATCTTCTCTTTACCGTGTCTGACCGCGGTGCAGCCTGTTTTCCAAGACGCACAAACGTGGCTTATTTTCTGTTTACTCCGACTTCACTATATTGTTGCTTGAAACAAAATACTCGTCACCAATAACTTATAAGCATACAGCTATTATAATAAGTGTTTTTCAACATTACTCTTATTTTGTTCATTCGTACTCTCTCTCGATCGCTCCTTTTAATCGTCCCCTTTTCTCTCTCTCTCTTCTTGGCTAACACTTTCCCCCTCTCTCTCACAAGACTCTTTTTTTCTCTCTCTCACTCCCCCCCCCCTTTGCCTTTCTTGCCTCTCTTGTCTGGGAGGGGGAGCCCTGCCTCTTTGCCTTCCTCAGATCAATGCCCTGGCCACTCACTTTCTGATGTTGCACGACGGGAAATGCTTTGAATACTTGCGACATGGCCGCTCACATTGATTGCCAAGATTGACAGCAGTAACCATCGCCTTCACTTGTTTCCGAGAGAGGGAGAGAAATAAAATAGACAATAACAAAAGGTCCTTGCAGTTGTGACAGTTAAACTTATTTAAAACAACAGGATTCCCTCTCTATGGCCCGTGGGAACATCAGCAGACTTTAGTTTCTTTTTTGTCTACTGATATCAGTGATCATTATTTTGTAAAATATAAATACCGAAACGGGATACCGTAAGGACCAGCGTTTGTTGCTCTCCGACAGGCTACGTCAAGGTAACCACGAGTGATCTGAACCCGTTCAGTGTTTTTTTCGTCTTGTGTTTACTGTGATCTTCTTGATTTGCTTTTTTTGTTGTTGTTGTTGCTTCGTCCTGGCGCTTCGGTTGTCAGTAATCTCATTTATCCCGTTCACGCTTTCTCTTGCTTCAGCACCCTGTTGACATGTAGATGGGGGGACGCGACCGAAAGGACACATATTGTTCAGCGAAGTGCAATTCAGTTTTAGGAGTCGCGTTTGTCTTTTTTATTTATTTATTTCGCGCGGGACGTGAGGATCACAAACAACAGGAGCAACTCGTCTCATTCAGAGCGCGTGTCTCGTCCTGCTTTATCCGAAATACGCGCCGCTGATGTTTTATTTCATTTAACGTGACAATGCTACTTTTATTCAGGTGGACAGAAGTTGAATCCATGTGCTCGCTGCGTGATTTTACATGCTGCTAATTGTGGGGATTTCGCTTGTGTTCCCTTTAGTCGCATGCGCAGGCTGAGCAGGCGCAGTTTCCCCCAGCGTGAAAATACTTCTGCAGCCGAAACAGGCGTTGTTATGCGCACACTTTCCGGCTGCGTTTGCGGCGTCCCGATCGGCATTAACAGTCTTAATGAAGTTGGCATTGCGGCTCCGCGCACTGGCTGCTCCCGTACGTGTAGCGCACAAGTGGGAAGCAGTTTCACTTTTGTCCACAAAGCGGTACTATTCGTTGACAATGACGTGCGTGTGGCTCGGTACCCCCACTCCAGCTCTGAAGGATCTGGGGATTTTAAAAAAAGTTTCTTTGAAGTTGAGAGTGTGTTGTGTCTTTATTTAGAATGCCTTGCTTTAACACGACCGGCAATATATAGATACTAGACCTAGCTTTGGGAGGATATATTTAATAATCACAAAAGGGGCATCCTGTTCTCCCTGTCGTAATAGCTTGGGAATTCTCTGCGACTTAACTTTCGCTGGAGGTCACGCCAATTGACCTGAAAAGAATGCATAAGCCATAAATTAAAATAAACCCCTCATCTTGAAGTCCGATCCATTTAGAGACAATACACAACCTGGACAAACCAGGCTTCGTTTACAAGCGGACAAAACGGCGCACGGTGCTGGGACGAAGGAGCTCCACAAGTGAGTAGCCCACTAATTTCCAATAGAATTCTTTGATAGCATTTTGCTACTGCAGTCGGAAACGAGTGAAATGAGTAATTTTTAAAACATCCATCCATGCAATTTCTATCCACTTATCCTGATCAGTGTCGCGGGTAATATTTATAAAAACTGAAAAATAAAATGCTTTGAAATTCTGCCTATAAACATGCGAGATCGGTGTTATGTTCAGTATCACTATAGAGTTAGGCTCAGTTCAGTTATTATACAATTTTGAGTAAATATCTAATGCTGTCTTCAAAAAACAACATTTTTGTTAGTCATGCATTCATATTTTGTTTTGCATTTTGAAGTTTAGTGTTTCGCTATTTATTTAAAAAATACACGCGGCGGAAATAGGCTGTATCATATTAATTATATTTTAGAGATAAGCTGAAGTAGAGAGTATATTCCGAGAAACGTCTGAGGCGCTTGAATGACGATTTGTTGTATCAAGGCTTTAATGGGAGAGAAAGGAGCGCAGCGTGGGTCAACTTCGCCTGGAGACCGGCGATAACTCATCATTTCAGGGTGTTCCCCTAAATTACACCAGGCACTCATTTTAGATAAAACGTTAACTGGAGCACTGCATGAATAGCAGTAGTATTTTAATAAGAAACCATATTTATGGAGAACTTTAATACGTGAACAAACTATTTTAAAAGCGACGGAAGATTAAAAGCAAATTACATTCATTACTAACAGTCGGGTAAATATTAAAAAAAATCTGGCTGAAAAAATACTGGCTATGTAATATATGTTCTGCTATTGTTCTGCGTTATCTAAATCTATGCTTTTCTGCAGTTATCAGTGATCTGAATCGCGTAGCTACGCTACATATATTCCACTTATCCGAAAGAGTTTTCCCCAAAGCATTAAAAAAAGAATTACGGCTTAAGTTTCTATGTATGTTTTTTCAATTGTGTCTTTGGTGTAATAATAACTAAGCGCTCTATAATACATTCTTGTCTTAAGTGACGGGGGCTATTTGAAAGACAATCCCTTGGCTTGTTCCTCTGTTGGGGTGAAGTTGATCCGCCAATGGCATTTTGTTTTGAACAGTTGCTGTTTGCCGTGAGTGGAAGTTCCCTCATAAGGTAAGGTGGCTCGGGAGTCCAATGCAACCCCAAATGGCACATTTATAATTAGAATGCCAATTCAGCACATTGTCCTGATCGCTATACAGGGATCCACACTGTCTGAATTTCAATAGAGGCGACGTTATTCACTCTCGGCCACTTTTGCACTGCCTGCACAGGCTGATTAACTGGGGTGAGCTATATGAAGCTAATGGGCGATTGTTTCAACTCCTGTTTTAAAAGCAGAATAGCACCCAGTCTTTCATGTTCTTTCAAATAGGCTCATTCAAAAAATATTTTGTATAAATTACAATATAAATACCCCACTGTCGTCTCAAGGAGAAAGATCCCTATTTGTTTTAAAAATATCTAGAAACGTAATTGTAGACCGGTAAAAAAAAAAACAAGATTTGACGTATTTAAATAAATTAATTGCCCTTTCCACTTAAGGGGCGTGCCTCGAATTTTGAAACGGAATATTAAAATTTAATATAGCGCCACACTGTAAAAAGAAAACGCGCCTGGTATTTTCCCCCTGAACTTTAAAAGCACTTACACTCCGACTGATTATGAAACATTCCTTAGAAATACGGTGCGCTTGCGTTACCTACTTCACTTCCTTTTATGAATCTTGAATGGAGACGTGTTTTCGTTCATTTTTTGTGGTTTGTCATTAATTCGGCTTCATGGATTAATTCGTGCGATTATATTGATACGGTTGCATTATCTGCGTTTGTGACGTTTCGGAGCTTGAGGCCGTGTGGAAGTAAAACGCATTCCTTAACTGGATGGGGAGTATAAAATCTTAATCGGGGGGTCTGTGTTTCGGAGATTTGGGGGAATCTTTTGGCATAGTGAGCTTGCTAGTTCCACTGCCTGAACTCATGCGCGGTGGGTGACTAGTAGGCTACCGTTTTCAAAACTGCTTTTCCGAGTGAGGTTCACGGTCTCTCCTTCAAATACATCAATTATTTTAGCGCTATACAAATATGATTTGATGCTTGGCATGACGAAACGTTAATTTATTTAACAGATTGCTAGGTTTAACAAATTTAATAATAATAGCAATCTTATATGGCGTTATTATATGGCAGTACACTATTAAATTGCACAGGCCTATTATACCGACTTTGTTGAGAGAATTGCCTTGGCTAATACATTTTGAATGTCAACATATATTTGATGTTTTTATCTTTACATCAAAATACATATGTGCTTTAATTGAAGCTAAAAGTTTCAGTTATTTCTGTTTCTGTGAAGCCTTTTTTTCCTCCTCAGGAATACATAGCCTAAGCTCTGCCTCATTTTTTTCACCAATGTCGTAGTATACTATGAAATAAAAGACCCTGGAGATCACAGCTGAATTCACCTGTTGTATTGTCATTTGCCACATAATGATTTTTTTCTGACATGTGCTCCCGTAATAATATCTAGGGCAAGTGAATTCTGGAGAATGTGAACAGTGTCATTGTTGCATTTAATGTTAGTTTACTATGTCGCTTTGCTGCATCGGTGCATGTAGCGACGATTACCATGAGAAGGAGAGTGTTTCTTGACCAGCCTGTATTGACGTTTTTTCTTTCTTTAACTATGTGGTATTTTGTAAATCAGTCATGACACTGGCATTGTCCTGTGGGGGCATACAGTGGCTTATATTAATGTTTGAATTCCGATGTATTCTCTGGGGACGTCAGTGCCTGAAGTTAGTAGATTTTACTGTAAATCTAAATTGTAGGATTCAAATGGTACTTAAATAATTGTTTCTGACTAATGGGTTAATTATTCTTCAATTACATTTATTGAAAGCCATTTCAAAGACCAGTTTAGCCTTTCCTGTGATAATTAGGAATTAGGAGTTTTGGCATTTTATAGGAAAACTCATAGAGTTAATATGCTTTCTGTATAATGTATTTGCTTGTGCTGTACCAATAATACCATTATTATTATTATTATTATTATTATTATTATTATTATTATTATTATTATTGTTGTTGGTGGTGGTGGCTATTAGACAACAAGAATAATAATTTGTGTGGTGTCAGTCATTTAGCACTTGCATATGGTAAATTTATAAAATATAGAACAGCAGAATGCAACTGTATTTTTAAGATCTATGTGTAGCATTGCTTAAAAAAAACTGATGATATATTGAAAAATATGACCTCAATATATGAGTGGCTGAGTGAAAGTCATATTTGGAAACATGTCTGTTGATCTTATATCAAGTGTTAAAACATGACTGGCTCTACTGTTTGTCTTGCACTGAACATCCTTTTTTAGGTTATGCCCGTAGGAACAAAACAGCTTTGGGATAGTGATTGACAAAGGTGATGAGGCCTTGCTGTGTCTGTAGGCCCGGTGCCTCTAATCAGCAGCTGTGTTTCTGCAGAATTCAGCCGACTGGCTGTACTGTTACTGCACTTGTCCGCGCGGCGCTTTCTAGAACTTGGAGACAAATGAAGTGGAAAGCCAGACTGGATTTTGGAAACCCACTTCTCATCCGTTGTTTTTTTTTTCTGAATAAATGTGGTTCTGCCAGAATCGCATTATGTGCCGTGCGATAACGGAGAGCAGGATCGCGGGAGTGGCGTGGAGTCCACGTTCTTGCTTTGCATTGCGTTTTGGCCCCAAGCACTTTCCAGTCATGCTAAAAAGCACATGTATCCTGTCCTAGAACTTTCCCTCATTCCGGAATTTGAGAATTGTGACATGAACCTACAGATATGAGCAGGATCAAGATAATAAATTAGGAAAAACCAGGGAGTGTTAATACAAAATGTACCACTGGTGCAGCAACAGAAAGGTGTGAATGCAGCACGTACAGGTTTTTGGCAGCTCGAACCCTTTGAGCTGTAGAGATACCTTGGCTAAATCTGCAAATTTGTATACAAGGGGCATACTCACCAGTGTGAGATTCAGAGTAAAACACTCAATCCAGCATTAATATTCCCCCCGACCCCTCCTTTTCTAGACGGAAGGTATCTCTAAATTCTTCTATAAATGTGATGTGGATCACTATGGGAAAAAAAAAATGACACTTGCTATCATTTACTGGAGTATGGCTGCCAGAGCTGACCCGTCAGCGGCATGGATGAATTAGCAAAATCGTAAGGATTCTGATCCACAGCCGTACTTCCCCCCCCGGCGCTTTTGTGACGTGAGAGCATCGCCGGGAAGCCGCAGCCTCCAGTTGGGCCGGAGAACCACGGCGCCCGCACTCGCCGGTTAGTGCTGCTTTGGATAGCGCTCGCTCCCTCCTCGCGTTGGGGGGGGGGGGGGGGGGGGGCAGCTTACAGTGAGGAAGGAGGGAGAGAGACATAAAGACAAGCAGGGTTCAGAGTGCGAGAGCTTGTGGATCCAGTGTCTGGATCCACAAGGGGGAAGGAAAAGTCTCGTTTTATTACGGATCTTTGCATGGCACTGGACTGTAAACAGGGAGAACCATGCTGTCTGTATGCATAGAACTGACACCAATTATAGTACAGTAAAGGAAACACCGATTGGGGGGGGGTGCAAATTTGAGAGGAATTTCCAGAAACTCTTAGGACCATCGCGGAGACGGGTGTAATATTTAAATGAGTTTTTTTTTTCTCTTGCTGGAATTTATCATGCTGAAGTTTATCAAGGAGTGCTTAGAGAAGACATTTTGCAGACGCCGTAATCCACTGTTTGTGATTCGTCCCCCCCCCCCTGCCTGATTCAGGTCATACAGGCAGAAGCAGACGTTTTAGCGACTGACGGAAATCGTTTAATTTGTTTTTCAGACTAGAGGCTCCTAGAGTTCAGGGCCGTCCGCAGAGTCCCAGCTTTCCCTTCAGTCCTCTGACTTTTGGATCTGTGACGGTAACAAAACGAGGCCTCTGCTTCCCCCTGGAACAGCTCCCCTGCTGCCCCCTGAAAGCG